CTTAGACCGTTTTACTCCAAAAACCTTTTCCCATCCCAAAGCACTGGTGCACAAAATATATCACACATTTGTTACACATGTGAAAAAAAGCTCTTTGCTATAGTCATGTTCCCACTTGTCGACCCAATGAGGAAGGCAGTGTTCTTTAATGTTCTTCTTTAATGTTCAGTAGAATACAGGTTATCTTGACATGGCCAGCTTGTTTAAAAAATGCCCTGCAAAACCCCTTTTTGTAGCTTCTTTCAGGAGGCAATGATGACGTTGACCAAATAAACTCTTCAAAATTAACTGAATATTATGGTCAAATTAATAAAAGATAAGTTAGATGATGTAATATTTAGAGAGAAAGGAAACTGAATGGTTTCAGGTGTGACATGGAAGGATCTGTAGTGCTCTCATATCCTTAGAGAGAGTCAGAGAGCAGCACTAGAGCTGATGATGCCACTCAAGATGGTAAAGGACAAGAAAAGGGTGAACAATAAGTCATAGAAGGTGCATGCTGCAACACCTGATCCAGCAGAGAAGGTGCTGAATAAGACAGGAAAGAGGTTATGGAAGCATGATGATTCCCAGAACACAACAAGCTTGGTTGCAGCAGAATTAGCCTATAAAATGTACAGGTGAGAAATGAGTTTTTCAATACTGATGAATTGTTAGGCTCACAAATCACCATTGAATTTTCAGCAGATGTAGTTTAGATGTTCTTAATTTACATTGTTCTGTCAAGAGAAGAACCTTTATTTTTAAAAGGGTAGGGTTTCGGGAAGACTGGCTGTGATGTTGAATATGTGTTTAAAATATATGATAAAAAATAAAATGTTCAAAAATGACGCTTCTAATACACTAAAGAACTTTGCATGCAGCTACTAAGTGTTTTTGTCAAATAACCATTGCTCACCTTATACAATATTTGAACAATAGTTCATTGTGTGTGCATGTTTACAATAAATTATATGCTTGGGACCTTGAACAAAGAATGATGTAAACCCTTATTAGAGGGAATCACATGTCCTAACCAAACACAATGCAATAAATTGATAAGCTCTTTCAGGATAAGACGTTTTGGTTGCTTTGTAATACTGGCTAGTTTTTGCTCACTATAGATAATAAAATAAAATGAGAACAGATATAACTGGGTTTATACAAT